GAGACAGTAAACATTAAAAGTTAATTTTCTCGGAACAATTACGGACTTAACGTATTTTGTAGTAAACCCACGATATAATGTACCTACTACTAAAGTTGTGACGTTAGACGAGGTGTTGGATCTTTTAGTTTTCTACACAACCCAATAACATCTCAATTGTATACAGTGATGAGTGCCTTAAGGCTGTTTTAATCGGTGCACCAGAACCTAGTGACAATATTTTTCTATTATTTATCGACAAAATGTCTCAAAATTTGGACACGTTAATCGAAATTATGTTGCCTCTAAAATGATGGTTTTACTTTTTTAATTTTTTTAAAACTTTGTTGAAAAAATGGATTATACTGTTTAACGTTCTATTATTTATAACCAAACTTTTTACGCCCATCACTTAAAATAGTTTTCTTTTCTGTAATCGTTGATTTTTTTTTTCACCTTTCTGTGTCCAGTAATAATCGAGCAAAGCGTGTTTCAACTTTGAAGACAATTGCTAAAAATACTAAAATCTAATAGTGAAACGTGTTACTCATCAATTGGCATTCAGTTTCATCGTTATCGCCTTCGTAACGTCAAATATCATGAACGTACGGTCAGTTAGTTCGTGTTAAAACTAATTTGAATGGAGAAGAATGCATTTGTTGTCATTAAACTAAAAGTAAGTGATACACTCCATTTCAAATTTAAATTAAATTTGAAATGGTCGGTTCTTAAGGCACTCATCCCTGTATTTACTGTTAAGATAAGTTTAACAGAAACACAACGCAGCGTATGATCAGAGGGTGGAATTCGAAGCATGCCTAGGTAGGCAGAGTCACTGAGTAATAATCTACAGTTGTTTACTGATTGTGTGACTCAAGCGTGTTATTGTTTTGACGGAAGCTAATTGTTGAAAGTCGATTATTATATAACATTAATCGAAAGTGTTTATCCAAAATTTCAAATTGTCCATCCAAAAATCACGCGTCCTAAAAGGTCGAAAATACCCGAAATCACATATCACTCATGAATTCTCGGAAATTTTGAATTCGATCATTGGCGGCGCGTAATAAAATATATTTCTTTGCTGGTCACTTTACATTATAACAATAGAATATTATATTTCTGATTATAACAATAGTTATCAATATTTAACAATCAATATTTCTGATTATAACATAAAATAATAGATTAGATCTAGTTTATAGAATAAATTTTTATGAATCATATTGTTACAAACGAACGAAAGGCAAGTATCGAGATTCGAAGTTTATTTCTGAGAAAAATTTAATTCTGTTGAGTGTAAAAATATCCGAGTTAGACTTTTTTAATATCGGAATTGATCAATGTAGTGATATTAGGTAGGTCGAAATGTGTTTACAGAGCAAAATAAAGACGCAACAGATGAATCAACAGCTGAGTTAGCAATGATTTCTGCAACTACATAACGAAGCAAATACTTTCATTTTACAAGCGTCAATAAAAAATGAAAATTCCGGCAAAGGAAGAACTGGACAAAGTAAACGTTTAACCTACATGGTATAGAGCAGGAATGATAACACAGCCTAACAAAATGAAAAAATGTGATGCTTCAGAAATAATAAATTCAGAAATAATAAATTTGATGCTCTAATTTCAAAAATGTCTTCTTTTTTTTCATGGTAGTTCCTTTTTTGGAATCGATTGTATCAATAACTTCGTTCAAAAAGATACACACAAAGGCACCTGAAAATCACCAGAATGACTTACGGTTAGGGCCGGCGTGAACGGGCCTGCAAGGGATGCACTGCAAGCGGGCTCCAAAATGATATGTTGTTTTCTGCTCATATTATACAAAATAGCAAAATCGAAAAATTAATTTTTTATATGTGGTTTCAATTCCAGTTATAATAGGCTAAATCTATGTTTGTTATTTTTGCATCCCACACACGTAAAATATAAAACGTATACATTTCTTTCCTACAGTGCGTAGTAATAGATTAGGTTTCAAAAAACAAACAACTTTGCATCTATTCGAAATGCTTTGTTTATCTACTTCAAAATTTTTTTTACGTTTTGTGTCAGCAGTTGAGAGCGTTAATCAATGATTTGTGGTAAAATAAATATTTTATATAAAAATGTAATACCTAAATTAGATATTAATAATATTATTAATAATGCCTCGGAATAAAGCAAGCGCCTAAAATTGATCATAAGCAAATCACTAAACAACGGCACTAAACACCTACTCATGTTTTGTGCTTAGCTACTCATTTAGTATTGTTAAGTGGACAAACATGGTATAGAAAATCTTCAGCGAAAAGTACGAACACACCTCACAAAGGCATAAAAACACCATCCTCGAAGTGCAGTAGAGAGAACGACATTATCGCGGTATTTAGGAGGACGAAGTGAACAATTACAAAAACATATTACTAATTTGAAAACTTATTTTCAGATACAGGCTGAGACATCTGCTCTACATCGCACAATTTGTGCAGTAGATGACACAATACCGATCAAACTGGAGGAACCAGAAATGCGCATAAACCATCTTACTAAGGACGAAAAAATGCGCACCTGGATCGGTAAACCTCTGCACAGATGGCATCCCAATGAAGTCAGTCAAGACTATATTGACACTATAGTGTCGAACTATTCACTTACATCAGGAAAGATGTTCCCTGAAACAGAAGGATCAGGTTATACCAACCAAAAATTACCTGAAATATATAGTCAAAGACCCTCAGGTCCCAAACGACAAATGTCGATATGGATGTCAAGCCCAAGAAACCATCCAACATATTACCAGGGGCTGCCAGGCATTTTCTGCAATTAAATATAAACAACAGCATGACTCAGTAGGGAAGATCTTTCATCAATAGATCGCTTTTAAACTGGGACTTCTACAAAGAAACCATCTGCCATATTATCAATATGTTTCTGAGAGTATGCTTGAGAATGAAAACTACAAGCTACACTGGGATTGCATTGTGCTCACACACAAGTGGTGCAGAAAACATTATGAAAGAAGCAGCTGAAGAATTACTAGGCATGGAAGGTAAACAAAGAAGAACAAGAACTAATGACTAATATGACAAGGAATGTTAGTTTATAACAGCATATAACAACATATAAGAAGGTGAAAACAGCATATTTACTGATGCAACAGGGCAGTGAATCTGACAAGGAGAGGAGGAATATGAATAAGTATGTAAGGAATAAATGAAAATCCACTGCAGAAAAAACAAAAAAAATATTAACAAAGAACTTCAAGAAACTACAAGAACTAAGTAAGCCAACAGAGATAAAAAAGTTTTACCAGGAACCAGAAAAATAAGGAGGGTAATATATTGACAGAAAAGAAAGAAATTCTTATCATTATTAGAAAAACTATGAAGATGGAATTCCTGAATGTGACCGAAAATGTTTTAGATTATATTGATATGTTTGATGTTAATTTGTAATACTCCATTTAACTTTCTCTATTCCATATCCCATATTGGATTGTAAAGGTAAGAATACATATAAAAATATGAATTATCATTAATTTAGGTGTATGTTGTTAAGGTTATGAGTCATCCATCTCACTAAAAACCTAATTTATGTTTATTTTATTAATAATTTTTTTATTTATAAAAACTGACATTATTGTATCTTATGGCAGTATAAATAAATTTTTTTGTTTTCTATGTAATACTTAATTGTTTTTGTTTTGTTCCTGGGCCCATACAATTTATTGTTAATGGTGAGGATGCTTCAGAAAAATGACAAAAAAGGCAGTTTTTTTTCGATTTTTAAGACATTTTCCACGTTGAAAATGATAATAATAATTTTTTCAGATTTTTTGTAGCAATAAAAAAAAATTTTTTTAAATATGTTTTTTTCCCATAGCGAACCCCCAGAGGCACTTGGGGATTTGAAAATTTAACTGAGTTTTTTAATTATGTCCTTTCGAATGGCCAGGCCCAAAACTGAATCGAGCATGGTGCAATTTTGACCATATTATCCCGCTATAGCCTCTATCTCAAGTTAGTCCCAGGTTTGCCCTGATTGGGAATCAAAATTTATCCCAGGTTATTCCATTGCTAATCCAATATTCAGCTGGTACCTAGGTCAACATCCAGCTGATCCAATTAACATATTTACCTAATTTATTGTAAATACTCTTCCTTCTATTCTCAGCAGATTCAAGTGATGTTACTTTCTAGTTAAGAAAATTCATATAATAATACTGAAATGAGTTTACTGATACAATTTGGCATTTAAAATGTTTGTTATATATTATAATATGAAGTACATATATCATTATTTTGCAGTGTATTTAAGTCTCCAGGTATTTTCAACACACAGTTAATCCATTGTAAAGATGACTTAGGTTAATTCTCATATTTTCTTATGATATATAACTTTATTGATATATGATATGATACTTAGTTACTCTATTTGATTACTTTATTTGACTACTTTATTTGATTACTTTGTGATATTTATGACATCTGATATATTGAATATATTTTTGATACAATGAATTTTACCACCTTTTATTTTTTTAACATGCATTTTTTATCTCTATTTGTGAGTATCCCATTTCTGTTTTTGTGGTATTCACTTTTAAAAACAGTGCCACCAATACCAAAAAATTATAAGATGTTGAAAAAACAAAAGGTGTATTCATCCACAATTTTTTTAAAAAGCCATATGAAATAGGCCTATATTAGGGACATATCATTAAATTTAACACTAGGATATAAATAAACCATTCAAATGTTTAACTAATTTAGCCAACTTTATCATATAGTTATTATTTTATTCATTTGGTACCAATAGGTATACAATTGTATGTGGTAGGTGGAAATTGATATGATAATTAAATAACATTATGAAAAACCACTGTTTTTGGTTGGTTAAAAAATGTTTTAGGTGCATGTGAATGAAATGTTTTTCCTGTAAATCATATAAATATTTGTAGCTAATGTGGTGGGTACTAAGGGTTATAATTAAATACTTATGTATAAGATATAGTGCATATAAATTTGACTTACTTTATTTCGATTAGGTACACAGTGTAATGATCTCGTAAATTTAAGGAACCAGTGACACGTTTCTCAGATTCAGATACAGAAATTTCCAAATGATTTAGTAGGGTTCCAGAAGGCTTAGGTTCTGTGATTTCTTGTTTATCTTCAGTATCGCTCATTTTATTTATCCTAATTTTAATATCTACCTTTCCGAAAATTTTATATATTCATATTCTTAGTGTATGTTTTATCAGGATTATATGAAATTCAGCAATAGGTACATAATTTTCATAATATTTCAGTCTTTGGTTTGATTGTACTTAACCTTATAAGGATATCTAAACTCTACACTCTTGCGGATAGATACTCCCCTTAAAATAAACTATTAAATTATTACTGCATACATTGACATCAATATTTGCCTTGTCTTATGACATATTTTTAAACAAATACAAAATGAAATAATTATGACAGGGATACATAGTTTGACAGTAATGTCACGTAATGTCAGTAATGTCACTGTGAAGAAAGCAAAGATGAGGTAATGTATACTCATCCAAAGGTTGTGGATTGTGTCCAATGGCATATAATAAAAGATAGATACCGCAGAATTCTATACTTTCATATATAATCGGGTGTCCTAAAGACCTGCTATATTCAAATGATTTTAATATCAAAGAACAAAACATTTAATTGAATTTGTTAAGTATTCAGTATAATGCATAATAAGTTATTTAATTAATAAACAAAACGCCTTCACTGACTATCAACACATAACGATAGAATAAATAACAATCAGCATGCCTACTCTCAGATCAGATGTCACCTTTGAAATGTGTCAGCAAGCGATCGCCATATTTTAAACGGAAACACAGACTTGGATTGAGAAATTTGTGACAAGCTACGACAGAACCATAATTTGAATTTTACAATAATATAATTTAGTACATTTGCATGTACTAAATTATAGCATGCCGCATAGCCATGATGATTTCCAACCTTCGATAGAAGATGGAACTTAAAGAAGAAGAAGTACATTTGAAATAATTTAATCTATTCTTCAGCTAAAATTGCGACATAAAATATTGCGTATTATGTCTGTGGTTGCCGTAAATAAATTGAACAGGGTTAATTTTTTTATGGCACACCAGGTAAAATTTCACTGAACAGCACTGGTTCCGTTTAAAACATGGCTGATTCCGTCTCATGATATTATTTTTTTTTTGTTTGGCTTGGACAATTGTCATTCAGTCAGTCTCGATCAACATAAATTTATTTAAAGAATATAAATTATTATAAGAATAAGAATATAAAAATATTATAAGAATTTAAATATGTCAATTAGTGAAACATGATTAATATAATAATAATAATTATATAATTATTCCTTACTGAGCTAATGTACATACTATGTTAAATACTATATCACACACCTTGTTATAATTTAGTTATTGAAAGACGTCATGTGAAATACATAGTGAAATACATCTTACAAATAAAAAAATCTACCTACTATGTTAATAAAAATAACTATGGTAATATATTTTTTTTTTCACTACGTTAGGACCTAAACCTGATTCAACACCTCGGAGGTTTAGATCCTCTTAGTGATTGTTTTAACTATATTTTTATTATTTTTTTTTATTTTTTTTTCAATATATTTTTTATAATCTTCTTTTTTCTTTTTTTTTTGATTAATTTTTTTTTAATCTATTTTTTTAAGTATTTTTTTATATTCCTTTTTTTAATCTTTTTTTTTAAATTATTTTTTCCATGAATTTTTTCTAAACATAGGTTACAAATCTAACTAATTACAGACATACTTTACTATCAGACAAAAAGGTTATCAAGCAGTCAAATCATGATACTATAACAAACAAAATATGCTCACTTGCCATTCTAATTTTAATCGACTTGCGCATGACGTCATAGCGAGACAAAGCCAGGAAACTTGTGTGGATCTTATTTTATCGATGCATCATATGGCAACGTTGTTTCATTACTGTAATGAACAACTCTCCGTTCGCTCACGGAGATAAGAATACGGCCGAGGCCAGAAGACCCTGCCTGTCGTAAGAGGCGACTTATGGGTAGGTAATGAGAGGTGGAGTACCGTCGTTTGAGGTGTCGGGTCTGTAGAAACGCACTCGAGATGTATAGTCATCTCGGTCACCGGTCTACACTCCTAGTATCCGAGACGAGCATCTCGTGGGACCACTCTACTCTCATTCCACAAGAGCCAGGTGAGGTTGAACGAGCTGGGCTCTTAAATCCCTCCCACGGCCTTACACCACCGAGGGTGGTGTTGGTGTCCCGCACGTACCTATCTGAAAAGATTTAAGTTTAAGAGTGGTAGAGGAGTGATTCCTCGGCGGTGACCTGTCTATGTGCGAGGTGGAATTCCTCCGCCTGCCTTATCTTCCGCCCCCGGGTGGGGGGATCTCCGAACGGTGACGTACTCGCAACACAGGTACTACGGGTAAGGTGGAGCTCCACGGTACTTCCGCATCGTGCCGCCTTAGTTGGTGTCGGACTCGTAGTGGCAGTGGAGACTCGTAGAGGGAACCAGTGGTGTTTAATGAACTACAATTATTTTAACATTGTTAAATATAATTCAATACAGTATAATTACAGTTCGAATTTGATAAGCCTAGTGAGCGGACGTATTCGAGTGCTGGTATTTTTACTTTTTGTTAAGATAAGTATATTACCTGTTATAATTATATTTTAATTGATATTTGAACCTCGTTAATTTTTCAAAGTTTTGTTTTGGTCTGACTAATTACATATTTTATTTTGATTAATTGATAAAATTTGAATATATTTATATATAGAAGCTGTAGATAAAAACATCTAAAATTAATTAAACCATGGGGGAAAATACGGCGGGGAACCGCCCGATTTAAATCAATGTATGAATAATAGTGAAAAGGGAAAGAAAGATGATTTTAATAATATTATTGATCTAGAAAATCGCTATAGACCAGGCGATAAAGGTCCTTATTTCGTGTTTGTGGAGCATAAAGAAAAAAATATTGGTAAACTTTTCCCAATTAAAATTGGGCACTACCTACTCCCTGATGAAACATTAAGTAAAGAAGTAGAGGATATAAAATCAGTAGGAATTAACCGGGTGAAAGTTATATTTAAAACTTTGGAATCGGCTAATTCTCTAGTTAATCATTATGTAATCAAACAAAATAATCTAATCGCATATATCCCTAAATTCTACACCCACAAAAAGGGTATCATAAGAATGGTCGATACTTTTTTTTCCGAAGAATACTTACTAAATGCCATTATTTCCAATAAAAAAGTAGTAAGTGTTCAAAGAATGAAAAGAAAAATAATAGATTCCGATGGAAATCCCTGTTTAGTTAACAGGCAGATGATTATAGTACAATTTCTGGGGAATGAAATTCCACAAAACATTCAAATTAATCTCTGCAATTTCCAAGTAGAGCCATATATACAACCAGTTGTACAATGCTTTAAGTGTTTGCGTTATGGTCATTCGGCCAGACAATGCAAATCTAAAGATAGCAGATGTAAAAAATGCACTAGTTTGGATCATCTGGAAGATGAATGTCAATTAGAAAATGTTTGCATATACTGTAAAAGTAATGAACACACTTCAATCTCGCGAAAATGCCCTGTCTTCACAAAACAAAAACAAATAAAGCAGATTATGGCCCAGGAAAATATTTCCTTTAAAGAAGCTGAAAATATGTATATAAATCCTTCTTATTCAAAAATTATTACGAATAACAAGTTCTCAATATTAAATAATATTAATAACTTTCCACCATTACCAGATGTTAAGCAAAAATCTTCTCAACCTTCCTCAGCAGTCCTAAGGAAACCCTCTATCAAAACAATTATGCCTACTTCAAAAAAACGAAAACCTTCCCCTCTATCTCCCACTACAGAAATTTCACCAATAAAAAAAACTCCTACTAAATTAACATTGAATTCTAATACTGTTCTTCCTAATCCTTATAGAGACGAATATATGAACTATAAAGAAAAGTCAATTCTTATATTATCTACATTCGTTAAACAACTTCAAAAACATTTTCCGTCTAGCTCGGTTACTTTTGCAGATTCAGATATAAGAGAATTTGTTAATAATATGTTTGATTCCCGATAATCCCAATGATGGAATGGACTTTAACATTAGTGGGTCTGAATCCGAATATTATTAATCTTCCCGATTCCTAACCACAAAATTACAAAAGAAAAACTATGTATTTTGCAGTGGAACATTAGATCATTAAAAGCAAATAAAGCAAGTTTAATTAATTTTATTCACAGTTCACAAATTGACATTATTGTTTTATCAGAATTATGGCTTAAACCTGACGAAAACTTTTTTTTGAGAGGGTTCAATTTAGTTAAAAAATGTAGAGTTGATGGTTTTGGGGGGTAGGCATTTTTATAGCTGAATGGTTAGGTTTAAAGAGTTAACATGCAATCGTCAAACAAAGAGCTAGAAGTTTGCGCAATTACTTTATCTGGTATAAACTTGTCAATAGTATCTATTTACCGACCACCCGACGTGGTTGTCAAATTCACCGATTGGATAGAATTATTTCAGCAGTTCAAGTCCAATACTCTTTTTTGCGGAGACTTTAACGCCCACCATGATAGTTGGGGACCTATACCTGATGATCGACATGGAAAAATTTTAGCAGACGCAATAGATGATCTAGACCTTGTTGTAATAAATGATGGTACTCCCACTAGAATTAACTCTAGTGGAAATCATTCAGCGGTGGACATAACATTAAGTTCCCATTTTTTAGTTGATAAATTAACTTGGACCGTCTTAGATGATACAATGGGATCAGACCACTACCCAATAGTTATTGACATCCAAATTAATCCTTCATCTTTTTTAATAAATCCCTCTACTAAATGGAATGACACATTTGCGGATTGGGAATTGTTTCGAATACTCTTGGATAAAGATGTTACTGAGTTACTTACTGAAAATAACGTAATATGATGCAGCAGCATTTTTCGGGAAGGTTTCCACTGCTGCGAATCGGTCGATGCCTGTTAAAAAATCTTTTACTCCCATTTCTCCTAGACCAGTTTGGTGGGATCAGGAATGTAGTAAGATGGTAGAAAAACGGAAAATGGCCTTAAAAAATTATAGAAATCAATCCAACCATAATAATTATTTAGTATATCAAAACGTAGCTGCCCAAACTAAACGTTTATTTAAAAACAAACAACGTTGTAGCTGGATTAATTTTCTAAATAAGCTCAACAAAAATACACCACTGACCGAAATTTGGAAGTTTGTTAAAGCTGTAAATAACAAAAATTTTCTTTGTCCCAAAAAACCCCTTTCAAAAAAATTAATAGATCAAATTCTAAACAAAATAGGTCCTCCTTCTGCTTCTAATTTTGTAGTAAAACCATTTAACCAATTTCCATTTAATCACGAAGATGAATTATCTTCTTCTTTCACAATGAACG